AATACTGATTCCAATTCTTCATAAAATCTATCCTTGATATCATCGCTTTTGTGCTTAGTTGGGGCATGAACATTAAGGACAATGATGTCGCACCAACGTCGTTCCAAAATTACGTAATAAAACCGGTCACTAAAAAATTCTGCTCTCTTAACTGCAGCTTTAGTTCTGCTATGAACAAAAAACCCCGTCCCTAACTGATGATTGTCATTTCCCTTACCATAGAAAAAATGTAAAATTGTCCACTGGGATCGTGCCCTCCCCCTCCCATCGCACTTCCTGCACTGCCACTAAGTCTAACTTATAATTCTCTAGTTCCCTACTCACTGATTTCAGTGCCCCAGCCCTATTGATGCTCCTAATGTTCCAAGTACCAAATCTCATATCCCTTTTCAATTGCCGTGGTCGTGCCAAAGAGTCCATCCTGATCCGAGGCTTAGTTGATTTTTTCGTAACAATGATTTTTTACGCCCAATCCCCAACCTTGAGGTCCAGCGTATCACTTTTAATCTAGCGCATTGCCTTGGCTTGGGTGACCGTACCATGAGCCGAAGCTCCGGCCGACATAGCCCTAAAGGTCATTTGAGCACGCAAGCCTTTTCACCCGGCAGATTGCCTTCGGGAGGCTAAACATAGATACGCAAAGTATCAAACTGAAAGAAAAACAATAAATACACAAATGGGCAAATATTTTTCATTTACTTTTTAATTAATCAAAATGAGTTATTGTATACATATCTTCAATGCTTCATGCACTATCGCTGTCAGACTGATAGGTAAATCAGGAATTGGCACGACCACCACTTTACTATTTTACTTCCTACGAAAGAGTTAACTTAAAAGTAAATTTTAAGGGTTCAGACTATGGAGTTTTTAACTCGAGATTACTAAATTCTTGGGCCATAGACCGAGGTTAACTCTTTCTAAAGGGCCCAACTGAGCAGGGCCCCTTTCGTATTCACCTGAGAACGTAAATAGATCCAGTTTCCGAATTATTTTACTCCGTTGAATACCAGACAATGGACAAAATCTAGAAATTTAGTAATCCCGAGTTACCTTAAAAGTTAAATTTTTATGAAGAACTTTTATTTCGTTCTTTTATGATCATGGCGCTAAAAATTTTATACATCCGCCGTTTGGTCATTAACGATTGTAACAACGAAGTATAAGGTTTGTTCATCTTAAAAGCGGACGTTTTACCAGGTTTAAATATGATCTATCGAACGGATAAGGACATGAAAAGACGATACACACAACAAGAGTAAGGTG